TACAATTTTAACTGCATGGGAATTACAGTTGCCTGTTGTAAAGAAAGAATAAAGCTTATATTTTGGACCAGACTCATCTTCAAAAGTGAAACTTATATATAGGACGGGAGGAAGTACTTTATTGTAATTTGATTCCAACGAAGGGCAAAATTGAAAAATCACGTTCCGTTTTAACAAGGAGATCAACTACCACTTCAACAATGGTGAAATTAGTTTTGACCCAAAAAAAAAAAAAAAAGGTAATGGCGAAATTAGTTAACTTTCCCCTTTAATTTTACTGAAGGACGTACCTGCTGCGTACGTAACAAAGGCCTGAGTCGAAAATAACTCCAAAATGAAAAGCAACAAAAGAAGAGGAGATAATTGACTCCAAAATGAAAAGGAACAAAAGAAGAGGAGATGAAGTTAAGCCTTTGTTTTTTGTTTTTTGGCTCACTCCATTTGGCTTTCTATTATCAAAAAGAAGATTCTCCATTTGGTGTGAATCTAATGTCATCAACAATCAATCAAAAGATATTGAAAATGATGGATTCCTGTAGTGTAGAGTAGCATTGTGGAAAATTATGCGGATTTGCTTCCAGTTTTACTAAGGTGGAGGAGGCTCTTCCACACAAAGCATTGGGTCAGGCAATAGTTTGTGACAGGGTGGTTCCAAACCTCTTCCACGCCAATGATTTACAAAGGAAGTTTCCAGTTTCCTCACCTGTCATCAGTCACGCTATCACAAATAACATATAAAGAAAAAACCCGGTGCAATACTTTGGTTTTTGCTGTTGTGTTTTTCAGTCAAATTACAACACAGGATTTTTTTTTTAATATATATATATATATATATATATATATAACTTAGCAGTGAATAGAGAAAAAACATTACACATAGCACCTAAACACGAATTGACACCAACATGTAAATTATCTATGCGTTGGCAATCAGGGAATTAGCAGTGAATAGAGAAAAACATTACACATAGCACCTAAATATGAATTGACACTAACATGTAAATAATCTATGCATTAACAATCAGGGATTTGCACCTTCAACTGACAAGACCAACCACAGGAACAACAATATAGCCATAAGTAAGTGAATGCACCGCTGATGCCAAAGTGTGGCCATTATCTCCAGCACATAGTCTCAGTTATTTAAATGGAGACACTTGATAAATGAAATGGAAAGACGCAACTGAAGAACTTAAAGCTATATTTGTACAAACAAACGGTTATTGAAGACTGAGGAAAGGTGAAGAAGTACTGATCATGAAATGACAAAAGATGGATGCCCATTTGTAAATAACTAATTGATAATATATGTGTATTTGGGTGTCTGATGGTGTCTGTGTGTTCATGTATAATGAAATGGTAACATGTGATTATGCTGCAAAAGCAAGCAAATCTAACGCTAACATTGGTAACTATGACAAAGATGAACTTGTAAATAAGGGACATACTGAAAATTTGAACAAGATACCACATACGAAACAACAAATTTCAACAATGAAATACAAAAAATTTCTAAACATCAGGAAGCTGAAACAAAGGAAAGGGGGCAAAAGAGCATGTTGCACTTGGTTCACATTGACAGACATAAATATTCTTTAATGTGTTTGCCTTTGGCAAATAATTGTAGATATGCATCATTTACAGAGAGCAATAACTTGGGTTGTGCTAATTAAGAACCATTATCGAACTTCACATATGATTGGAAACAAGGTTTCCTTCCTAGTCTACTCGCGGTTTATACTTTTGATATTATTAGTACTCAGTTCCATTAACTGTCTCTTGAAGGAGGCAGAATAGAATTTCTGCTCAATGGTTTTCTCTCTGTTTTTTTCCCTGTTTCCTTCATTCCCATAAAACACTCCATACAGAGTTGTCTCATTTCTCTTTTATTAAAAAATTTTCTTCTTCAAAACAGAAGTCAAAAGATAATAATAAACAGGGAAAATTACAATGCACCTAAGAAAAGCTACGTATCATAAGAAGCAAACCTGTCGAACAACAAATGGCTCCCTGGCAAGACTAAACGGTTCGGTCAAAATAGTAAGAAACCCATTTCGATTGCCATAAACAATGTCAGTGAAGGGCCGATCACCCACCTGCCACAATATACTCATGCTGGGATAAGAATTCTCAAAATATGAAACAAAACTAAGTGACAATGAACTATTCTAAATTTTTCTTCACCATGATTAGTTGTGAGGACTCAACCAAAATGCTTTTCAATTTCATCGGCGGATCCAGCTGGTTTCTTCACCCCTAAGGCATGCAAATATATAAAGACATCAACACCAACAATACATTATTACTGACAATCCAAACGAATATTTCACGTCTAACGTTTAAAGACAGGAGACATGTCCCAAAAGAAACACTTACTGTACCTTATGACTCTAATCCCGATTGCCTCCTCAAGCGCCTTAGCTTTGGAACCATCATGATCATACTCATGAAGTCCTAATTCATCAGACACAAGTAACATAACAGAAGTCCTGTAAGCAACATCCCCGTACCGAAGAATTCAGAACAAATTGCTTCATGCCTAAAAGCACCAATATTGACACTGATACAGACAGGAAATGGAAGACGCACTTCAAAGAACAACATATAAGTGTTTTAGATACGTATTGGCTTAGAGGTACCAGCACTCCAAGATCCACAGGATGAAATATACGGTGTTTATAAATAATCTAGGTACCATATCTATTTGAAAACAAGATTCTTTCTTTGAAGTATAGCTACAGCTACTTCATAGCTTATAGAATACCATACAGCTCCAATTCTGAACTAGCTTCATACTACACTTACCAGCAGAGTTACTGAAGACAGCAATATCAGGATCAAAAGCCGATTTACAGCGTTCCATCGAAGAAGCAAGAGGAGGCCAAAGGGTCAAACAGTAAGGAGCAGTAATGGTATTATCCCTATCAAACACGACCTCTTCGAAACTCCTTCTTCGCAGCTCACCCCAATCGATATACCTCAAGTCCGGAACAGAAACATGAGGCAGTGCTAATTTGGGGTCTTTCAGAAACAAAAACGTCGAACAAATGGCCTCCAAGTTTATTCTCTGCCCTAACGCCGCTTTCACGTCTGCCCACCACATGCTTGTGAAATGTCCCCGCCTTTCCTCGTCGTTCCCGAAACTCTTTTGCTCGTCTTCTTGTGGAAGCTTTTGGTATCTGGGTTCTGGGTGTTGATTATTGGTGTCTTTGCAATCAGAAGAGAGAAGAAACTGAAGAAACAGAGAGTGGCTCTGGCTCTGATTTGAATTGGAATTGACGAAACTCCTGGGATTTCTTAGAGTCAGAGTGGAGAAACCTCCAATTGGGATTTTGCTGTGAGTAGTAGAAAGCAATACAGTGGTAAGATTTCTCTGGTGATCGGTATTGCTATGAAAATTCAGAGGCTTTGGACGGAAGGAACAACAACTCGGAAGGGAAGCAGCCGCAGCGGCTGCAGGCATTTTTATTTTTATCTTACACTGAGCTCCTTTATTCCCGCAAAAAATGGACTTCCAAATTTCAAGTTAATTTTAGTTAAATTTAGAGCTTGTGACATCCTTGAAATCTAACATAGTAACGTAATACTATTCCATCTCTTATTATAAGATCTTTTTAACTAAATTATTTGGGTTAAAAAAACAATTAAATTAGTTAAAAGTAATTAATATGTAGTAAAATACAAACTTTTTCAAATATACCCCTATATATAAATGGGTAGATGTGAGAGAGTAATAGTGAGATAAATAAATAAAGAGAATATATTAAATGCATTGAACTAGGGGATAAAATAAGTTATAATGCATTAAATGTTCAGACAAATTCAAAAGAGATATTATAAAAAAGAACAAACCTATTTAAAAAATTGGATCCTATAATAGGGGACGAAGGGAATAAGAACTACAGTAGTCTATTCCTTGAGAAATGAGAATCTATTATATTCCGTTCCTAAATACAAGACCTATTTTATAATGTAATTTATACTGTAAAATAGTTTTTATATTTAGAATCGGATGAGTATATTTTATTAAAAAAATTTATCAAAAAGAATCCATTACGCACGGTAAAATTTCAGTTTTTTAAAAAAATAATTTTTATACAATTTATTAAAAATTATCTATATCCCTCTTAAAATGAGCTCAAATTTTAGTCTAGTCATAAGCAATTTCAAAAGAGTTTTTACAGATGCTTTTAACCGTGAGGCTAGTAGTTCTATGGACTTAATTCACATAAATTTTCATTTTTTTAAAAGAATCTAAATTATCCGATTAATATTTACATAAATTTTTATAATTATCTTGATTTGGGGTTGGATCCATGTTAGTATGAAGAGACATGTGCCTAATTAATAGGAAGAAAAATTTTAATATTGAAACTAACTTTTCTTATCCACACAAAAATTAAATACTAATAAACAGTAATCAACATCACATCTTAACTCAAAATTATAGAACTCAATTTTATAGGTCATTTCATTCCATTATATATTATTTATCAAGCTCAATTTCTTTTTATGTGAGAATACTAATGTTTTTTATTTTCTTCAAATAAGAAGATACATGTCCCTTTAATTCACTTGACATAAGACTTGTTTGAAAGGTGTCAGTTTGAAACATCAATAATAGAAATCACATCCAAGCCTCTCTTGTCAATACATCTAGCCTCCCGTTGAACTTGCAAGTAATCTTTATATTAGATTCTCTTGAACAATGGCTTTCCTTCTCCAATAGCTCCATTGCAGGCCCTATTTCTTTCTCAAGTGCTGGTCCATTCTCTAGTGCAAAACTAAGCCTCGTGTCTCTTTCATTCAGCACTACTCTGTGCCACACACTCTTATACCGCTTGTTACTCACAATATGATTAATTTCAAAACAAATAGCAAACAAGTTTATCAAAACCATCACAAACAAAGTAAGCTGACTGGTTAAGGTGATGAGTGACCTCAAGTTGATCTCCAATGTCGACAAGTAAGCAATGAGGCAAAGGAGGATTCCCATTAACCTATTTATGATGGGGCTTAAGTTGAAGGCCTTTGATTCCATTTTCACTGAGGAAGGTTGGTAAGTCATTGTCAAAGTGAGGAAGTAACCCTAAAGTAAGGTCTGGTTGAGGACATGGAGGGTGCAAGTTCACTTGACATGTCTCATGTCCTGAATCAAAACCTGTGTACTCCACAATGACCTTGGCTTGTAATCCTAAACTCTTCGATATTCTTTCTAGCAAAGTCCTCGCCACATTTCTTATGCCTTTATTGTATTCAAATGCAACCTCCCTCTGCAAAATGACAATGAAAAATGTGGTATTATATATGTCAAAACCTAACTCACTCTAACTATATGTTAAAGCCCCAAAGGTTTTATCAGGCTTCTATATTTTTCTTTTATTTAGAGTAGTAGACATTAATGACCTGAGATTACATTGAGCATGATCAAACTCATGATCTCCCACTTACAAAAAGGTTTGAATGTCATTAGCCTACGAAACCATTGACAAGCTTCTACATTATTGAAGGAGAGCATACCTGTGATGAGTACATAGATTTGACACTACTTCGTAATTAATTCAAAATCTTGCAACGTCACATTTTTAGTCTATTTCTGCTAATATGAGAGACTTCAATTTCCCCATGCATATATATTAACTCATTGTTGGATACTAATTTAAAAAAAAAAAAAAAGACAGGATAGAGGAAGAGAGATAAAAAAGAGAAGCTGAAATTGAGCGTACTTGAGATGAGGGGGCTTGTGGGGGAAATGGAATTCGGGAAAAGTAGTAGGTTTTAGATCCAGTAATGAACCTTCTCTCCATAAGGAAGGGAACTGGTACCAAATCTAACGGGTGTGATGAGTTCTTTATTGAAAAATTCCATCTTTTCCTCAAGAGGCAAATCGTGAAATTCCAGAGACTTTTTTATCACCCCCTCCATCAGTTTCTCTGAAATCCCATGATTTGTAATCTGAAAGTGACACATCCAAAAACAAAGTCAACCAGAAAAGCAATTCTAGATACTATAGAGGCTTCAACTAAATATTCTCAAACACTCTAATTGCCATGAAGAAGCCCCATTCTCTGCATGCATCACCTAGCTGTCGAACTGCGTCGGCATGGATTTGAGGATCCGGGGAGGTGAGGAGGGAGAAATCGAGGATGGGGATGGAAGCAGCAAGGTCATCACCTGCAACATCATCACGATGAGGTTCAGTGAGAGAGTAGTACGTGGTCGGGATGGGAACGTTGCCGTTTGATTCAATGAAGGCCTGGATAGTTGTAACAGTATCATCAGAAGCATGAAGCTTTTGAGGTTCTGATGAGGAGGAAATAGTAAGAGGTGAAGCCATGGAAACAGGAGTTGAAGATACTGTGAATAGAAATAAAGAAAGAGTATTGCAGGAATGATATAACAGTGTGAGGTAGGGGACGAGATACTTGGTAATGATTGATGATAATTGACAAGTGTGATTAATGATACATTCAAGATTAGGATCGATATATATTCTATACAATCATTGATTGAGATCATAAGTTTTTATGCTCCCTAGCTAGTGATGCTGCTGTGAACATATGGGTGATCTGATCGCTCTCTAATAGTGAGATATTTGGTTTTCTGCATAATTTGGTGGACAGCACTTTCAATAATTGAGAACAGAGACAATACTTTTGAGTTGATTGATTCATTTTACTTTTATTAGATGATATATCTTTGCACGGTAACACACACAAACACATATGTATCTCACAGATATCGATATTTCCAGTTTGGGAAATTAACTATGCAGTCATATGTATGAATAGGATAATATGAAATCTTATATTAAGGAGAGGGGATAGTATAATTTTCCCGGTGTAAACATACATAAAGAGACAAAGTGATGAGAAAAATTGAAGAGGCAAGACAATGTCTCTCGCTTGGTAAACTAGGATTGAATAAGAATGGTAATCTTGTTTCAAATTACGGTTTGTGTTTTAATTTCCAATCTTCATTCCATTTCCTAATGTTGCAAAAAAAAAAATTGCCGGTAAATTATTACTACCTCTGTTCTTTAATTTTTATTAATATAAGAGCCAGATTAATATTCAATTTGGTCCTAAATATAAAACCATAATCTATTTTATCTCTAACTTATCTATTTTATCCTTAAATAATTCTCAGTAATTGTAGATATTAAGGAGTTTCCATCAAGGAATATTTTCAATACACATGATTAATAGGGATGTTTTAGGAAGAACAATATTTATTTACTACAAATAACTAACTTAACTAATTTTTTTAATATTCGCAAAGTAGTTATCTAATTCTTATATTAAAAACCAAAGGTAGTATTTGTCAAGGTTTGATTGCCACATTAACATCTGTCAGTTATATTTGCGTAATCATCTTTTCAAATAAAATTCCAAATGATAGTGTTTAGATTTGTATGTTCCTATATATAATAATCACAAAATTGAAATTGAAAATTATCAGAGCGAGTGCTATCATATATATGTGACATGAAAACCTTTTCAACACAGGCTTCTTACTTGTTAGCAATTGGAGAAGATACCATGCACTAACAACTAGTATTACAAAATCCTATATCCTCACTATCCTCAGAGTCTAAGATAATAAAAGGACATTCATCAATAGGGAACATTAGAGCCCCAAGCCATGTGTATGCTTATTCCTTACTGTTGTGTCATTCTGTTAATATAAGTTGATATTGGGACCTTTCTAAATGTTGCAATAATTCGCATTCAATGACCGCTTAAAGGATATTCCATTGAAAAAGAAAGTGGCACAAGTACACACACGTATTCTGATAAACCATTATTACAAGCTCTTATTTTCTCACTATATCACTAAATTTAAGATAAAGAAAGGGCATTAATTAGAAGGAAACATCAGAGCTCTTAGCCAGATGTTGTAACTGCAGCAAAGCAACCTAGCTATTCCCTGAAGCAAAATATGAGACCTGAATTTGAGACAATCTCACCAATTCGTCATACTCGCGTGTTGCTTTGCATATGATTTGATGTTTGTCATTCAATGTTTATTATATTTAATAGCTAAGGGATTATATTATTTGATTAAGTAACCTCCAAGGCATGACTCTCTGTTATTTCAAACAGTATATACCACAATGGAGCAGAGCACCTTAAGTGTCAAAACAGAATGTTACTATTAGATTGTTTGGTATTTGATATTTGATTTGATTCACTGTGTTGCAAGTTTCAAGTTTTGATACCTGAAATCTTCAAATACAGAGACATATAATATCTTTTTACTGTGTACATTCATATAGCACATGGAACACCATTCATCAAAAGGTTTCTTAACAACATAAGATACACATAATTGTTATTACAACATGTTCTCTTCTCACAGTTCACTAAAGTTTAGATAACAACAGGACAACTGATAGGTTTGGGCATGCTTCACTGTAGTAGAACTCTTTATTCCTTGAAGCAAAGCTCAGTATTTGAATAACGATCAGAGTGGTGATAGCTATTCCACTTGCATCCGATAGGCAAACCATAATGAAAAGTAAACAAGACATAACACAATCAGCTAAAGAACAATATTTTTTAAGTGAAGGAAGCTAATTTAAATAATAACAACACTTGAAAAATCAAAGAAGCTCATTTATTACCTCAAGGGATATTTATTACTAATACTCAGCTGAAGCTTTTGAAGAAGAGGGCCCAGGCAACATAAAGTTGATCTGCCAAGTGATCATACCATCGGAAAAATTTGTATCTCCATGCTCTGATGAGGAAGAGAGAACCACAAGCTCCCCAAAAACCTGCTGCAAATCCAACCCCCATGCCACGATACAATGACTTTAGAAAGCCGTCATCTTCATCTCCTTCAGCTAGCTTTGAATCATGAGTTTCTTCTTCTTTACTGCACTTATTTGGAAGAGGATCTCCACAAAGTTCAGAATTGCCAACAAAACTCCAAGAATCAAAAGTTTGAATTTGGGTTCCCAATGGAATTTGTCCAACGAAATTGTTGTATGAGAGGTTCAAATAACCAAGAAAAGACAAATTGGATATTGTTAAAGGAATTTCTCCAGAAAGTTTGTTATAGCTAAGATCAAGAGATTCCACTTTCATGCCTCCAATTTCTTTGGGAATTTTCCCAGTCAAATAGTTTCGAGACAAGTTCAAGGACTGTATTTGACCGTTACTAATTAGTTCTTCAGGAATTTCTCCACTCAAACTATTAGCAGAAAAATCAATAACACCACCCGTAGAATATAGAAGACGGCTAAATGATCGGTAGTCAAATTCTCTTCCTTTCATAAATATTTTCAGGATTTCATTAGGCAATACTTCCACAGAATCTGGAGGCGTGATGTTGAATAGGCCATGAGGTATGGATCCTGAAAGCTTATTTTCAGCCAGATCAAGTATTGTCAAATGAGGAAGGTTGCATAATTGTAATGGAATATTGCCTACGAATTGATTGGCCCTCAATTTAATAACTACCAAATATTGCGCCATGGGATTTGGCAAACTTCCAGAAAATTTATTTTGTTCTAAAATGAGGTAATTTATAGAGGTCCAATTCAGCATGTCTAACGAAAATTTGCCGAAGAAACTATTATTACCCAAATCCAACAAATGAAGATTCAATGAAGCCAGTGAGGGAGGAACTTCACCTATCAGCTTATTACTCCCTAAATTAAGGTAACCTAATTGTTTCCAATTGGTCAAGCAATCAGGAAGTGCTCCACCCAAATGATTATATGATAAGTCCAAGGACCACAACACACTCTCTCCCTTGCTCTCTAGTTGGCACAATAATGAGAAAATAGATCCTGACAATAAGTTGTGAGATGCATCAAAGGAAAAGATGTTTGCTGATAGTGAGACGTTGGATATGTCATCACTAATGAAGTTGTTTGAGATATCAACAACATATCTTCCTACTACAAAGCTCCAAAATATATCTGCATCAATTTTTGAAATCCTAGATCTCGAAATATCTAGAAAGCTTAAAGACCGTTGTGTGTATAGCCATGATGGAACATTAGGACCTATGCTTGTGTTGCTCAAATCCAACTCGTCAAGTTGAAATGGTGGGACCCATTTAGGATCAAAGTGAAATTCAAAACTTGTTGAGCTTAATTGCAATGATATTAAATTTGAGAAATTGGTAAAATTCATTTCAGAAAGAACACCTATCCACAGATTGCCACTGATGCCTAAATGATATAATTTATGGAGTTGTCCCAAGGTTTCTGGAAGATCCCCGTTCAATTGATTGCGGGACAATTCTAAGTAGAACAAGGAAGAAATATTTCCAAGAGACGATGGAATTATGCCATGGAACAAATTGCCATCGATGTTCAAGTATTGTAACTGTTCAAGTTGGCCTAACCAATCTGGAATTGATCCTTCGAAATTATTAGACCCTAAATCTAAATACTTGAGATTTTGGAGATTGAGCAAAGACTTTGGCAATTGTCCATAGAAATTGCAAGCAGCAAGGTCAAGATGATAGATGTGATTGGTGATATTAAAGAATGCATCAGGGAATTTTAACTTCATCGTATAAAAGTTGTCATAAAGTTCAAGAACTTCAAGTGATGTAAAATTGGCATAATCAAGGGAAGGAAAATCTCTTAATCTACAGTGACTCAAGTCTAACTCAGAGAGTGAAGGAAGCATGGCTATATGCTGGAGCCATTTGGTATCATCTCCAATATCACTGTCACTAAGGTTAAGATATTTTAAAGAAGAAAGTTGGGAAAGCCAATGAAGGTCATTTATGACTAAATCATCATTCCATGAAAAGTCAAGATAAAGCAGAGCAACAGAGAAACTTGCTGAGTGATTGGAAGGAGTAACAAGTGATTGGTTGTGAAATTTATGAGCATCAAAGGGAGGTTTGGAGATTTGGCATGGTGGCATACTCACAGTTTTGAAGTGATTCCAGCTCAAGTCCAAGTGGTTGAGAAATTCAAGTTGAAGCACACACAGATTAATGTCACCTCGTAATGCATGACCGGAAAGAGAAAGCTCTGTGACTCTTCCGGTGATGTTGTCACAGTGAACTCTCTCCCATAAACAGCAATCTTCTTCAGCAGTCCAAGAAGAGAGGTGGTTGTGTGGATCAACCACTCCTTGTTTGAAGATTAAGAGCAACCTTTGATCATTTTCATGGCAACTCATCACCCTGTTTAATGTTGTTGCAAATAACAGAAACAACAAAAGAAAAGATATTTGTGAAGCAAAGCCCGCCATTGTGGTAAGTTTGAGTATAATGATCTAATGAAGCCTATATATGATATGCCTATATATACTGGAAAACCTGAAATAATAAACAAAAATTTAAATGCTTAAAAATTCATAACCGCATGATTTTCATTGTGAAGTCCAATAGCTTAGTATTTTTTTTTAATTTTAAAAATGCTTGCAAGCAAAACAAATCCTAAATGGCCTCCACGAATGGCATGGGCTTAATTATTATATTTTATACTTTTATTAATTACTGAAAGGAGCATATATACAGGCACATATTGAAGTGAAAGTGAATTAATTTTATTTATTTTTGTTTTTCTCCAGAAATGAATAAATTAATTGAGATAATTGAAATTTGAATAACTATATATGCGCTGTAGTTTGATTTTTTTTTTGATAAGAAATTGGACAAAATTTTGCTCCATACACACCACAAATTAAAGTCATATCTCTCTAATTCAAGTCATATTATAGGTCGAAATAAAAAAACAAATGAAAGTTGCAAAACAAAACTTTCATCCTGATTTGCTTCAGTAGAATGAACTCAATTAAGCCTTTATTCAGAAGGTCAGGATGTTTATAAGTTGTGACAAGTATTGCGAACAAACTGCAGCTTAAAAAATATTGGAAAATCAAAATAAACAAATATTTATATGCCCAAAAAAAATTCTGTAACCACATCTTTTTTTTAGCAAAGTCTTCTAATGCTTCCAAGTCTTCGCATCTTTTCAAAGAAAAGTTGAAACATTAATAAATTCATTTTTCACAACTAAAGTAAAAGTTTATTAAACAACAAATTAAAGATTTTTTTTCCATGACATATAATATAAATAAGTTTGATTTATATGGAAATTTCTTTACGCGGACAAAACACAAATTGCAAATGTGCAGCCTAAAAATTAAGTTTAATTACATCTACTTTTTCAAAAAGAAAATTGTAATAACTTCAGAAAACAACAAAGTCTGGATATAAAAATTCACTAGAAGCACATACGCCATCCCAAAATGGATAACAGAATTTCTCGGGAAAGAGTTGATGTCAGCAAGAATAACGTCCACTGTGGAAAATAAAAGCTTTTTTTTAACCAAAAAAAAGATATAGTTACGTTATGGGGCAATTTTAGTTTTTTAGTTTTATTTTGTTAAAAAAATTCTGAAGGTAGAAGAGAACCTAGGAAGATTGGTTAGTAGCAATTTAGTATTTTTAAATTTATATTTTAATATTTAGCTCTTCTAAATAATTATAATTTGTATGATCCTTCTCAAGTAATAATATATTCTTTTTTATAAAAATAAATACTATATTCCATAGGTCCTTCGTTTCGGTTCTCAAATGTTTTCCACCGGCGTGTAATTTACTTTCTTATTGTCAAGCCTACTAATAATATTTCCAAGTCTTCCCGCCTTTTTCATATAAATCGTGCCACGAATCCAATTACTCCACATCATGTTACCTGCCTTATATTCTTATTTTTTTTCCAATTTCCAAAACCAAGTTGAATTAGTGGATATTTTTAACCACATCTTTTCTTTTAACATTGTCAATAAGAAAATACCACAGATATAATCTGTTATATGCTTAGATCCTTTTAAATTTGGTAGGTGTTAGGAAAAAACTGGAGGCAATTACGTATAAAAATATTGAGGGCCAAGAGCTCAGTGATTTTTTATTGTAAAAATGTTTTCGTAAACAAACCAAACCCTACATTATGACTTATAAATGAAATAACTTATTATCATTTATTTTATATCATTGTTAATTATTGAAGGATTATACTCAGACACACTCACTCACGTATTGAAGTCAAAGTAAATTAATTTTATTTATTTATTTTAGTCCCGAAATGAATAACTTAATTCAGATGATTGAAATTTGAATAAATATTTGTGCTCTGAAGTTTGATTTTTACGCATAAGAAATTGGACAAAATTTTAGTATGACCCGAAAATAATAAAACCCTGTATATCAATTTTTAATCAAATTTAATATAAGCAAAAAAAAATCACAAAAATTACATGTGAAATCCATAAAATTAATTACATATGGCTCTTTGAACTCCATATTTTGTGCTATTTGTGAAAAACTTAGGTCAAGTTGTTTATATCCATTATATAAAGTTCTCGAAAGCATGTATCTATTTTTGTTTTAAGTGAATTTTGTAACTAAATACTAATATTTTAAAAATAAGACACATCACTATGTATGATTTGGGCAGTGAACATGATGAATATAAATAACTTGATATAAATATTGTTCTGTTTCTTTTTTTTCTTTTTAGCTTATTTATTGCTAGTTATTTCTCCTTTCCTTTCCTATGCACATGTCTTCCGAATACACGTGAGTGGATACATATAAATATATAAATATATATATAAACAAAATTAAATACGAAATATTTAACTGACGTATAAATTTAATCATTTATGTTTTCTTTAACTCTATTTCGAATAAATTATATATGTACACATAATGTAGGTTTGGCCAAAAAAAATATTGCAGGAAGCATTCATTCATTATCTTTAGTCCCAACACACCACAAAATTATATACTTCTCAAATTTATATTATATTACATGTTCAAATAAACAAAACAAATGAAATTTTCAAAATGAAACCGTCATCATGATTTATTTAGATTATATGGTCACGATATAGGGAAGTTGTGAAAATGAAAATCATGACAAATAAAGTTTTTTATTAGAAAATATTGGAAAAAGTACGCAAACATTTAAATGGCCAAAAAAATCTATAACCATATTTTTTTTTTGGTCAAGTCTTCTAATACTTCCAAGTCTTTCCATCTTTTTCAGAAAAAACTGGAATATTGATACATTTATTTTCATGTCATTTTTCATTCTTATTCAATTTCCACAGCCAAATCGTTTGAAACGCTTCAAAATCATAAAAGTCGCTTAAACAATAAATTAAAGGATTTCTTTTTTCATTCAATTAGAGGTTTTCTAGGAATACAACTTTTAGCTTTTGAAATAAGAAAAATATCCTGCAAATTACCATTTAGACCTTTTCTGTTCAGTTTGTATTATAACAATATCAATGACTTGTGGTGTTACAAAGAAACTGCACACAATCATATAAATTTTGAAACTTTCATTTTGGGGTTGTTTTTCATTTCAAATGAGAATGTTTGCAAATAATTCACACATAAATCAAATATTTTTTTATTTAGGCTTTGAAATGAGAAAATTAATGTATTCTTTATATATTGAGTTCAATTATATATGTAATTATATATATCT